AGATGTATAATGTATATTATTTTAAGAGATTCAATGTATTTTGTTTTCAACATTCCAGTCCTCACAAGGAACCTGTTATTAGAATATCTCCATTGATGAATCCATCAAGATACATTGTAGTTAGTAAGGTAAGCAACTGTTGTCTTCTACAAAGAGCAAATACATATTTCTCTGTCAACAAGTACATTGAAGGGAAAGAATTGTCAGTTCCTTTGAATTCCTTTTCAGTCACTCATTTTCAGTTCTACCAATGTACAGTGCATCCTGGTCTTTACATTTAAACACTGGTGTAATGGCACTAATGTTCTTTAATATTTATTATATCTATGAGTCAGTGTATACACTACGATTGGTCAATTTGGCGGGACATATTTACTGTGCAGCCTGCTAAATTTAAAAGTTTGTTTTGGTCACCAGATTGTAACCTAGAGATATGATAAATATTGTACAGTCTGTACTGTAAGTTACGAAACCTGGTTTTTATGGCCCATGTGCTTCATTCTTGGGCCTTATATCCAAGTGGAAAAAGCTTGGTCTGTAAGTTACAGTAGGAACCTTGAACTTGGTTAGTAAGAGGTATGCTATACAGAAACCATGCATGTACTAATACCAGATGAACTGTGTATATGTGCAAATCATAGTGTACCTCTTTCACTTGTCTCAGTAAGTCTCTGCTAACACTTTCATTGCTACCAATTTGCTTACCATAAATTCTAGAGATAGTCATCTGGCTGTCAGCCCTTTGACATTTTTTTGTCTTCTAAAATTTTACAGGAAGGAGTAATATCCCTTTGGGCACAGAACATGAAGCCATTAAGAACTGTACAGGTAAGGAGGGTACCAAGAGCTCCTCTTTTTTATTTTTCTTTTAATTTTGTTAGAGGGACATGCAGCTTTCACTGTCTTATGTCATGAACTCTTCTTCTTGGAGTTAAGCTATGCTGAAAAATTGAAAAAAAATTCATAGGAGTCAAATAAATATCAATTTCTTGCCAGGTCCAAACTGATCAAGATGAAGTAAAACAAAGAGATCTGTGGGTGACAGACTTTATACCAATGCAAAATATTTACAAACTGGCACTTGCTCTTACAAGTAAAGAAATTGGTAAGATAAGTGAAGATCAAATCAGCGCAACACAGCCAGTATACATGTGTTTCTGTCTGACAATGCTGAATCATAACACAATAAATTAATAATTAATACTGACACATCAACATAAATAATCACTGATAGAGTGGGTAAGTGTATCTCAATGTCTGAGCTAGACAGGCTTGTCAATGGTCAATTGTAATAGTCAGTAGTAGTAAATGAACACTTTTTTCCTTATCAATAAGATATGTATATTTATGTGATCATATTATTCGTCAAGTTGTGTAAGCCTGAGCTTTTGCTCTCATGAAGGGCCACTGCAGTTTACATTTATCAACTCAGTTGATGAAACCAAACTTATCTTGTAACACCCTCCATTAAAGCAACACCACAGTTTCTGAACTTATCATTGCCAGATGAATGATGCACATGGATAGAAAAGACCTTTGAGACATCACTTTATCAAATATACTTGAATGTATATCTGCTATAGCTATCAATTGCTCCAATTTATGATGAAAGTAAATTGTGAAGTTCAACAATTCCCCTGGTCATTTTTTCAGCCATTTATGACTTAAGTTCCAAATCAGAATTCAACTGCCAGTTCAGAATACAAGGCCTGGAACATACACCTTTGTGTATGGATTACTGGTATGTCAGCTAATTTTTAATAAAAGTTAACTTTAACTCAGCTAATTTTTAATAAAAGTACTTGTATCTTACAGTTACCAGTAATCTCAATTTATTTCAAATGATTGGAAGTAATTTTATTCTAAATTTTATGTTTACATTTTGTTATGAAGAATTGTCTTTAACCCTTTAACTCCCATGAGTGACCAAGACAGAATTTCTCCTTACAATATCAATACAATTTGGGGATAATTAGTTGATCCAATACTAGATTCTCTGAACTCACATTGTAAGAATTCTACTGTTGACAGTAAGGAGAATTACAAATTTGATCTGGAAGTTAAAGGGCTAAATTACATACCACATGAATAGCAAACCTGGTGTACACAATGGGTTTATTATTAATTTCAATCATAATTTTGTTGTTAACAGGAGTAACCCATACAAAACGAATGAAGCAATTCTTGTTTATGGAGATGTTCATGGCCAGGTTAATGCACTGCTGTTTTCAGCAGCGACAATGGCTTTGTTTGATCGACCATCACAACCAGCAGGAAGTAAACAAGGTGGAGCATTTTCCTGTTTGATGAAGTGTTGACGTAGTCTGCAAGTAACTTCTGCTTAGAATGATGGCTGAATTTTTCTCCTTTGTGTTCCCAGACAAGTAGCTGACCAGAAAGAGTTATTAATCTTTACTACCCTCTCATTGATTAGCATGTATATTCTCCATATTGTTCTCCAAACAATTCCTAAGATACTGGCAAGGAGAATTTGTTTAACATTGTTGCACTTCTTGTGTATGTGATCATTTCTGATATTCTCATGACCATAATGTGTAATTTAGGGGTGATATTGTTGGGAGAAATAAGATTCTAGTCACTCTTAGGGATCAAAGGGCAAGTGGCAATTTCAAATTTTGCTGATTGATACCTGCTGTATGTTTAGCCTCTGGCATTTCTCTTTGGTAGTTACACATACTGCAATATTATAGCATGTTACAGAAATCTTGATGTATTTTCTCTATGTCTGCTACCAATTTTTTGCAGATGTTTGTTTGAATGTGAATATTAATGATGTAAATAGAGGTTACTACAAGAATGCAAGATTTGTGAAGCATCAAGGACACACAGAGTGGGCAAGACAAGGTAAGTTGAAGGAAACTAGAAGCCCTGAGGAAAACAGTGAGCATGCAATAAAACTATTGAATGAATGGAAACTGCAAGCAACCAAACAACAGTCAAGTTATGACCAGAAAAAGATGTGCAGAATGACTGATGTGCATCTCTCAGTTAGCATTAGTATGTTGTCAGGAATGGTCAATTAAACAGGCTGTATTTCACTGTACAGCCCACTAAATCCAAAAGTTTGTCTGAATTAAAATCTTTCCCCTCAATTTCCGTGTAGAACTAACCTCATTTTCTTTGTTGCTACTGAAGTTAGCAGAACCTTGTTTTTTTCACTTGGATTTCTGGCCAATGGGCTTTATGATTAGGCATTTAATCTGAGTGGAAAAAAAACTTAATTGGTCACTCTGTGACTTACAGAATGGACATTGAACCTGTTAAATGTAACTCAGTTTTCTTGTTGTTACAGTGATGTACTCAGCTCATTTGGACTGCTTCATATCATGTGCCACCAACTACAAGAACTCTCTAGTGCTTGGATGGATAGAAAAATCCAAAATGAATATGAGAACGTGAGTGTCTGATGAATGACAGGAAAGAAACCACTTGCACTGTAACTATCTCCTGTTGTTCTTCACAAATCCTTAGAAAAGTTTTCCAAGGATTTATAAGGAACAACAAGAGATACTTACAGTGCACTCAATTCCCATCCTGTCTTGATTAACACTTAAAAAGACATGAAACTTATTTGCAGATCACTTGTGTTGTAAAATGTCAGATCACACATTGTTACAAGCCATAATTGATCATTTCATTTCCCTTTAATAGAACACAGTTTAAGATCCCTCAAGGTGTGAATGCATTTGACTACAGCGAAAGAATCAACTTGATTGGTGAGGTTTTGTCTCTTTCTTGATTTCATGTAGCACACACTTCGTTTTTGGATGATAATAAAAAAATTCCTTATTTCAAAATGTTAAAATGCACATGTACTTTTACTATTCACTTGGAATGACGCAGACACCTAAGCTTACTGCTAAAGTTATATTAGAGAACTTTCCTTCATTGTTCGTGCATTTTGAAACCCTTATCTACAAATAATTTTTAAGATTGACTTTTATATATTCCCTGTTAATCTGTACCCAATCTCAACAATTCCCATTCTTATTCATTTTCTTTTACCTGTGTTGCTTTTCTTGTTTGTTTTTTTACTGACCACATACTTCATTCCTGTGTTGAAGTTTGCTCAAAATATTTCACACAACATAACTCCATCAATCTCAGTCATTTTTAAAGTTTCTACCTTAGGTACAATCTGTTTACAAGGATTCTCTTATCCTTTTTTAGCCACAGCAGGAGTCAATCATCATGTGTGCCTATGGAATCCTTATGTCATCTCCAAACCAGTTGGGGTAAAGTTTCTTTAGGTTGTGTTTTAGATAGCTAATTATTGGGTCATGTGGCCTAGTAGTGAAATGGTCCAGGATAACAGATAACTTCAACCGACAATTTTATCTAAAAATGTGAATACCTGTATTATTGATGGCAAGAGGAAGAGCCACCATATTGTAGAAAAACCCTTTATGTCTGTCTTTCTTTTGTTTTGTGAATTCTCAATTGTTTTGTGGTATAGTTTTACCACTTTGCCTTAATTTTTATGATGTTGTGTTTCCAGGTTCTCAGAGGTCATATGCAAAGTGTTATTTCAGTGAGATTCATTGAGACAAGAGGCCAGCTCATCAGCTTGTCAAAAGACAAAGTAAGCTATCACTCATTTTATCTACTCGATGTTGTTGTGTTGTTAAGCTATCTGTTGAACTTACAGGTATTATATAGCAGTCAAGTGATCAGTACATCAATTCATGTAACTCAGTGCCACTAAATTTCATCGTAAAATTTTTTAGTTCATAACAACATCATTGAACAGATTCATTTTTCAAGACAATTAATGAAGTTCTCATTGAGTGTCTTATATAGTGGGGATAAAAGAAAATTTTTTCAAAAGGGCATTTCTGAGTACTTCAACTGACATGTTCTTTTTCCTGTATGAATCAGGTTCTCCGGATCTGGGACACCCACCTTCAAGTTTGTCTTCAGCGGCTATCAGGAATGTTTCCCAAAGGTCCATCAGAAGGTAACAGACTTGCATTTTTCATATTAACAACAGATACGTCATTGAAATTTAAAAGTAGTTTGTAATTTGCAAGGCAAACTAAGTGGCAGCTTACCATCAAAATATATTGCCCTATTGGATGAGGTTTGTTATTGGGTACTTGAAAATTGTGTTACATTCACGAGACAGAAATGACCTCCTCACAATCGGTATATCTCCATACAGTTTGTAGTCTTTCTACATGTATATTCTGATCTAATAAACCTCCAACTTGATTCTAGTTTTCACTGTATTGCTACTAAGTAAATTATTTCACTCAAACTGTAATTAAATCAGGTAGTAGAGCAAAAGGCTAAGAAGTCTCCATATTTCCCAAAAAAATTAATTATTCAGTCAAACTATAACATGAATAGACCATGCCAGTTTTTACATGTAATTTATAATTAATTTGCCAGTTAGTACATGTAATTTATTTTTAATATCTGTGGGGAAAGATAAAACTCTAATTGAACCTCTTTCAGGTAATAGTTGAACATTAATGTGTGCCAAACCAATTATATCTGAAGTTCCTTAGGATGCTAAATTCACCAGCTAATTGATATAAATTATATAATTCATTTCATTACAGTGTCTATCACAATGTATTATGATGAAGAACACAGCAAACTATTCACAGCTTTTAATCAGCAGGTAAATAAGATAAACTGCATTTTTAAGTAACTAGAAATCATTTATCAAAGCTTTGTGTATATTAAAACAGTTTTATTAGGTTGCCCATTTCTACAGGAGGTAAGGTGGCTTATTTTAAGCATTAAGCTGCCATCAACAGCAACGCTTTATTCTTCTTTTTGTTTTCCCAAAACCTACAGTTTGGCTGCTGAAAGTATTATATTCAAAAAAACTTTTCTAAAAAAATTTCCCTTTTTTCTGACCTGTTAGCTGACCCTGATGGTGATGAAGCCTGAAGTTAAAGACAGAATCATGAGCCATGAACATCCAGTCACTGCTGCCATTTACAACAGCAAGTTTAACCAGGTACATGAAAATTCACAAACCAAAAACTGTCATTTTTGTTGACAAATTGTTTTATTTTTTCAAAATTAAGGGCCCAATCTTTTTTTTTTTAATGGTTCTTATTTATAAACTAACCACCTCTTTCTATTATGTAGGTTGTCAGTGCATGTACAGGATCTGTTATCACCATGTGGATGATAGAAACTGGACAGAAAGTCAAACAAGTAAGAGGAGTTCTTCATTGCATATTACAGTTGTCAATCCCAAGGTTGATTAAACAGCATTTAACAAAAGTAGTTCTCATAGTAGTTGCACCCAACCAGTATCTAGGAAACACAAGGTTGCATCTTGTCAAAGCCTTTATTCTTTAAGGCTTCTTTTCTGCAGCTGCTTCAATTGCAGGGCACCTGTGGGATCATTGCTTTGCTTAAATAACATCTTGATTGGATGTCATGGTATTTTCATTTCTTCCAACCTTTCTTATGTTAAATTTTTTTTTTCTTTTAGTTTGCCAATGCACATGGCAACTCAGAAATTACCACCTTGGCTCAGGATGCTACAGAGACCAGACTTTTCACAGCAAGTGCTGATGGTACAGTTAAGGTATAACTCAGTTATTGATGGCTTTCTTTTTTGATGCATTGAGGAGAAAATCTGTATCAGGAAAACTCTTAATCCCTTCTTTTCGACTGAGTTGATTGATGTCATCAAAGTTAGATCAAGGCAGTATGGTGGAGTGGTAAGGGCACTGGACTTGTACTCTGATGGCCCCAGTTTCAAGCCCTCTAAACTGCTACTCTCTGGATTTATTCTTGGTTTCCCCATATTCAACTCCTGGGTGTGCTTTGTATACAGCCAACTGGTTTGCCTGTGGGTAGTTGGGATTTTTGAACACTCTGTTTGTTATTCTTTCATTCATTCATTCATTTCATTCATTTACTCATTCATTAATGTAGATGAAAAGCCTCATTGGGAGAGGGTTAATTAAGTGTATATGCATAAATGCAGAGGGGAGAGCTTGATATGTCTATGATCTTGTAATGATTCAATGATATCTTTATACCATTCATTTATTTAATCAATATGTTGTCTTAATTTTTCTTTCAGATCTGGGATTTCAATGGCCATTGTCACCATATTTTAATGGCTGGGAATGGAGATCCAGCAGAGATCAGTCAAGTGCTTTGTTTAAAGAGGATCATTATTGTGGTTGGGTGGGACAGGTAGGGGAAAAAGGCCACACCTTGGTTTTGTTTAAGACTGGATAATACTATCCACTGGGTAAACCGCTATCCAGAGGATAACGGTTTATGTTTTGCAAGAGCTTATCTACTGGAAAGGGGTTTATCCTCTTGATAGCATTATCCAGTCTTTGCACAACCAAGGCTTGTTTTATGTACATAAAATCTGGCTTTAGATAAATCAGGGCAGTAAGGATTTCTTATAGGGGGGAGTCCAAAACTTCGATTCAGAAAGCACAGAAAAAGAATATGTATACTAGAGCCTGAACAAGCAAAAAAAATATTCAAAGACAAGTAAATTTGAAATACTTGATTTTGAGGAGAACCATAATGGATCCTGATTATGAGGTTTAAAAAGTTTTGATGTCAGACTAGTGAAAAAAAAAAACCCACAGGTCTGACGGGTGGATGCTGTGGATATCACGCTAGCACATCCTGGATGCTGTGGAAACCACGCTAGTACTTTGAGCCCACTTGGTTGCTTATCTTACGTCATTGGACTGAAGATGTTCGGGTTTTTCGTTTCATTTTAAGTACTCTGAAGCAGCTTAGGTCCAGTTACGTTTAAACCAAAACTGTTCTCTTGTTACAGGACCATCTCTGTCTTCAGAGACAATCAGCTGAACTCTTTCTATGTCTACCCCTCAGAGTGGAAAGGAAGACTGGTAATTAGTTCATTTTCTACAAGTGATAACAAACACAGAACATGCAAACCTCTTTCACCTATATTTGAAAGCATTGGACATTTGGAGATTGATGCGTTCTGACAAATAACCTTAAAGTTCACATTTTTCCTCAGGAACACCAAGATGATGTTTTGTCCGAAGCGTTTTGTGCTCCAACAACACTGGCCACAGCAAGCTATGATGGTGAAATTGTACTCTGGAATTTGAATTCAGAGCAAGCTTTCAGACATCTTTCTACGCACACTAAAAGGAAAACTACTCGGTCTTCCAGAAGAGCGAGAAAAACGGTACATATGCCACCCATTTATTTAACCATTTGGCTCTTTATAGTGACCAGCATCCAATTTCTCTTTATAATATCACCCCTGAATCGCATTTAAAGGTCACGAGAATAAAGGAAATGATCAGCAACTAAAGAAGCTCGTGATTGTTGAACAAATTCTCGTTGTCAACCACCTAGGAAAGGTATAGGAAACAATGTGGAGAATATACACACTGATCTAGGGTGTCAAGGGTTAAAATCGAAATTAGCTGGATCTTCATTTTTTGTCTTTTTTTGTCTGTGTTGGTGTCTGGGTTTCTCTCCGACCGACCTACAAACTGATAGACCCACTGACTGACTGGCTTAGTGTCTGATGGGTGAATGATTAACTGACTCACTGCTGACTGACCTACTGCTAAACCAACCATTATCTGAATGATTGACTTATCAATCGATTGATTGATTGAGTGCTAGCCCAATCAATTGGTTGATTAATGTGATGTCACATTCCCTGTCCAATAACGTTAGAGTATATCACTGTACGTGTTGAATATTTGTGAGTATTTGTTCCTTTCATAGATGGACCTTACCAGTCCTCTTCAGCGATCAGTGGAAGCAGAGACGTCATTAAAGCCGCCTCTAACACAGAATCGTTTAACCTCAGCGACTTCTGTAACGTCTGAGCGGCCACCGAGCGAGCAGGTACCATGTAAAATTGTCTTTAGTCATATTGTAGGCAGAGCGAAGATTTTCTCTAATGATAACCGACCGCGGGAAATTATGAAGCCTTGAACAACGCGAGTGAACGAGAGGTCTGTTTGGGTCTAGCCTGATTTTAGTACCAGGCTTCTGGTTAACCTCTCCCCGACTCGTCTCAGATCTTCCGAAAAGGGAGGGGGGGCGTAGGTATTACAGCGTCAATAATGTGGGCTTACAAGTATGTTCTTTGCACTGTAACTAAATGCTCCTAGACGAGAAAAAAACATACCATGGGTATGACAAAGGTATCCTATGTACATTAACTAGTCTTTTGTGTGTTGGACATTAACCAATTGATTCTGGTTGGTCTCATCAGGATGACTTTGGTTATGCTGTCACTAAACTCATATTCCTCAATGAAAGACCGATGTCTGCGTCAAGTGTTGGAGCAAATTTAGTGTCGTGTAACGCTAGTGGCTGGGTAAGTCTGTTTAGAGATAACTTTTCCCATTGAAACCATGATTGTTATTACTTTGTTCATTGGGCATTGTGGCGCTTTTTCGGGCTAAAATGAAGATTTTAACCCGCTTGCCTACTCGTGTAATTGTTTAGACTTTTTATTTTCTCAAATCAAAGCTCTTCAAAGTGACAATAGAGTTTATGTTCTGGGGCTTATATGTGTTTTGGGCCCTTTTCAGAGTCATTTTAACCCGAGCCGCTGAAATGATCGCATGATTCTGAGTCGTTTATTTTGTGTTTATTATGGCAAAAACATAACACACAACTAGAAAAATATGCTAAACTGTAAGAAATGCTATTAGAGACGGAATAGGGTCAAGAGCTGCGTCACAGCTACAACAGTTATATAAAATCTAAGTCCTCATCGGCTCAGGCTTAACTATACTGAGGTACCTCTGACCCATTTTCGCTATTTGCTATTTGAAGCATTCCTTACCAAACATTTAACGTTACGGCATGTAATTTGTTGCCGCAACAGTGCAGCATTGTTTACAAGTATCATAACGGTTGTGAAAAGTAATAATTTTCATTTTGTTATTTTACGACAGGTCCGATTTTGGAATACACATAAGTCGTTGTGTGTCGGCCAGTTTTTAGCTCATGAAAACGGTAATCATCCAGTTATGTCGTCATGATTGACGTTTCCAAGCTTGATAAATTATTTTTTTGTACATTAGACTCACCATGAAAAATCCCTTAAGTCGATTAATTCACATCATGCTCAACCTTATCCAATAGTTGCTTATTATGCCTCCGAGCTCTGATGCACAGAGAAAGCATCGGTAACCAAATTTTTTCAAAGAACAAGCAGGACTAATTAGTCTTTTATATTAATCATCTCCTCAGCTGGATTTCTGACGATGACTGTGGATGAAACAAACTCTTACTTGGTAACTGGTGACGCAGATGGAGTCATTAAAGTTTGGGACATATCAGAGTATTGTATCGCTTCTGTGACTGAGAATGACAGCACACCACGTAAGTTAATCTTTATTTTTGAGGTTTTGTTGCAACAAGGCGTTTTTCAACAATCGTTTTCCGACAGGTAACTAGACAACAGGCCGGAGAATGTGATCTCACAAGTCTTAAAAATCTTATTTCTTACCTACCCCATTGCAGCCCTCCTCAAACAGTTCCAACCTCACACGGACACCATCAACAGCATCCAACTATTTACTCGCTCAGAGAGACTGCTGGTGCTTACAGCGTCCAGTGACTGCGCTGTTGCATTGTGGGATGTGGAAGGTCGCCATATTGGAATATTCGGGCAGGTGGGACTTTTCTTAAACCCTTGTTTTCAAGCTCTCTCAGTGCAATAGAGATATATTGACATTCGTGGTACTATACGATCGTTTTAGGTGTAATAATTTTTACCTTAAGCTCTGCAAAGGAAGCTTTTTTTCCGATATTATATTTGGGCACTCAAGACAAAAAAAGAAACGTCGTTGTAGCCGCGAATCGAGCAGCGTTTCTCTATCATTTCGTCCTTCGTCTCTCGGCTTCGCCCTTCAACGCTTCATTTCGCTCGCAAAACTGCGAGCTGCGCAGGCTAAACAAGTTTTCCATGAACAAGAAAAGCTTTTATCTATAGCGCATACACAATATAACTTGTGTGAGTTAGAATTCTTTAGTTTCGCATGTATTGATATCGGGCATGCTGCACGGTATTGTAAAGAAGGCAATTTGCTTTATGTACTACTTATTTGATTTTGTTATGCCTGTCTTACCGTCAGGAAGAACATTGGAAGATTGAGCCCATCTCCATAGAAGAACGAGAAGCTGAGCAAGCAAAACAGGCTGAACAGGTTTGTGATTCGCTGGCTCAGAAGTCGTCCTCGGCGTTATGTAACTTGTCATGATGTATTTGAATTGTTGTCTTTTTATTTAACCAATTGAATTTTCGAGCGTGTGACCCTTTGGAAAAAGTTAGAAAAGATGAACGCTGTACCTTTTTCCCTTTACACTTGTAGTAACACGCAAAAGAGCGAAAGGTCTCTAATGTATTTGTTTATATGTTTTCTTGAAAAAAGTGAAAACATTTAAAGACATAGCCTATTGGACGCTTCATGTTTTAAATTTGTCAATAAAGTAAACATGTCAAACTTATGGAGCTCTGCATTTGAAACAGGCGGAATCCGATAACACCGACAAAGACGAGCCAGCTGAAGAGGAAGGCAAAACAGATGATGTACAACTTTTCGCTGATGAAGGCTTCGACGCAGAGTTTAGAGTTTCTACTTGGGAACAAACCATATTAGGTAAGCTGTCGTTCTAACTTCAGTTCTAACCTTAAACTTCTCACCTTTTTATTTCACTGAGACACATTCTTGGTTGTTGTACAACGAAATTCGAAAACCGAAAATCAGTCAGAATCTTGTGGCTTCTGGACTCAACCATGAATGCATTACTAATTGATCGGGTTCTCTTATGAAATCCAAAAAAGTAAAATCAATCGAAAAAATAGCTTGCGATCAGGTTAGTATTATTAGTGCTTTTGCGCGAGTGTTTCTTCGTCTAGGGGAAATTACGACGCCTTGAGCAACGAAGGTCGGCGAGAGGTCTGTATGGAGTTTAGCACTGCAAATGAGGGGCCCACATGATGAAGGCCCCTCATTTCCAGTGCTTCCCTTCCCTTCATTTCAAGTTACTAGTGCCAGACCCCTCAGCAAACCTCACCCCGTCTCCTCACCCAAACTTCCCGCGGACGGAGATGCACGCGTTGCGCAGGGCTGAGAGCCTACTGACAGGCCATGAGAAATGTGTTCATAATTTTTTTTTTATAGAGACTTAATCGATCTTCAAATTTGGTTTTGGCTCCTAAATTTTTAATCTCTTTAATAGAGTGCTGAGCTCTGAGTAACCAAAAACATGTTGATTGAATACACATTGTGCTATTCTTTGTTTAGGTAAGGCCTATCAGGAGAAGAGAATCGATAAACGAGAAAGACGACAGCCTCAAGTCATCCCTGATCTTCCATATCTGAACTGGGAGAAGACAGGACAGGCTCCAGCCGGACCCTATGCGGTATGTTCTTTGAAGGGTTCATAATAAAAAGAGAGGTTTTTGAAATGATATGTAATTCTCTGCTTCAATTCTACCGGTGCCACTTTGTAACTGTGTTTTCATAACAGGAAAACTTGACCTGTAAAAGAGAAGTCTTAAAACCATCGCATACGCTAATAGGAAATTATTTTAGTGGCCTTTCTCGCGATTTTATGAAGCATCAGAATTGACGGTAAAGAATGTGTTAGTGCAAACATACCGGAACGATTTGAAATGTTTCAACAGTGACGGGCAAAAGGTGGAGCCGAACAACAGCTACAACTTCATCATCAAGCAATTGATAGTGAAGCTTTTTGTACCTTATTTTCCAGTCTTTAGAGACGTCAGACCTTCAGGATGTTGGTGTCATTCATAAGCCAGACTTTGTTGCTCATCCAGAAAAGTATTTCAGTGAAAGCTCAGCTGGGAAACGTCAAAGCGCAGATACCACTGTACCTACATTACCAAGTGTTACTGACAGTAAGTATTTTTTTCCCTTATTTTTGAAATTAGACTTGTCATATTACGGTCAAGTTGCAAAAAAGAATGAAATATCACAGCCCAATTTTCAGTTTACTACCCTCACACTTCCTTTATTGAATTCTATAGACCTTCAAATGCGTTACGACGAAAGAAGCCTTTTTCCGAAATTCATCTTGGAAATGGAAGCCAAAATGAAGGCTACGCATGCGCTGGGAATGCGTGTGTCTCGTGGTGCACGTGCTCGTGGTGATACTTTGCAGGCAAGATCACGAGGTTCGCACGAGGTTCCTCAAGCAAATAACAAGAAAATGACGAGCTGGAAAGTACTGCTTACCAGTAAAGGCAAGGATTTGTAACAGCAGAAATACAAGCGAGGCTAGGCTCCGTGCATGAGAAGATCTTGAGAGGAAACCCTCCGCTACCCCTTCTGGCCAGAACAAGAACTGAGAATTGAGAGTATTAATAAGAATACTTAAGTTCTATCAATTGTATCACGATGTAGTGACTAAGGATGCAGATGGAAAAGTTTCGACTGCATACAACTTTCTGCAAGCCGTTAGAGAACGGAGGGTTGTTTCTAAAATTGTAAATAAGTAAATGTTCAATTTGTATTTATAAATCCGATGTTTTATTTCGTGGATTTTTTTGTCTGAGCTTGTTTCTAGTCCATAACCTTTTATTTTTGTTTGAGTAATCGGATTCCCCCGAGCACATTACTACCTATGTTCTGCCTTGAGCTTAAATTATGCTTCACGAGCTAATGACCTTGGGTCTAACTGTTCTGTAATCCGACAAATCAAGAAAGGGTGTAAATTTCTAACGAAACTGTGGTGGTGCGTCGGTTGGGGATATAACAAGAGAATTTGGTTTTGTCAGCTGAGTTGATTTTAAATGTAAATTGGCCATCGTGAAAAGTTTCTGAAGCCCACTTCTCGAGCGTTAGTCCTTCGTTATTTGCTCTGACGATGGGGGAACATTCGAAGGGCCAGCTTTACAAACCCTATTATGATTCGCTTTTGAAAGCTGCAGCTATGCCTGAGCTTTTGCGCCTCATGACATGGCGTACTCATATGTACGTGTTTTACGTAAGGTAATTCCGCTATTTTGAACACCTTCAAATAACTGTTGAGACTCCCTTCCCTTCAAATAACCTCAAGTGATCCTGTGTTTTGCTGATAAACAACCGTTTAGTTACCCTAGGGTTTCAGCGTGATTCACCTCTTGCCACATAGAGCGCCAAGCGAGGTTCAAGAACAGCAGGTATTTCACAATTGAACAATGCGCCACCAGTTCAGAGTTTATGTGAACAATAGATTACCTCTTATGTTGTCATTGAGTCGAACGGGCGGTAAGGAAAATAAATCACGAAATCCGCTCATAACACAGTTCGGTGTAAATCTTTAATGTGCTTCTTCCAACGAGCTATCCATCTTTGGTTTTAGTTACCCGGCGTTTAAACTTGAAGTGGGACGTTTCTGTTGAATGATTTTGGACTCTAGTGGTGCAGTTTAGGTAAGACCCTTTTACAGTTTTCTTTACTGTTTAATATATTTGATTTCAACTTAAGAAAAAAACAGAATTGGGGCAGAAAGGAAGGTAAGAATCGAGCGTAAATGTGATATTAAAACGGAGATTAAAAGGGACTTACTCTAATTATTTTCCACATAAACACAGAAAAAACCTTCGATTGAACCGTTTTCCCGTGTTGTTACTGAGTCAGATATAAGTTCGATTTTATTATTTTGAACTCAGTAAGAAGCTTAACGATATCAGAGGCAATGTGTCTCGACTAGACAGGAAATTTAAGTATTTTCATTGACTTCTTAGTCAATTGCGCGGCCATAACGATCAAAAAACATATACTCTCTAGTGAATCAAAATGAACCCTGACTTCTGTGTCGAAAACAGTCACGGTGTCAGATGTAAGATTACACCATAATTGCGCTCAGCCACCATCAGAAATGCATTTGTCGATGGCAGAATATGAAAATGAGTATTTGGGCGGCGAACTGAGCTTGGCGAGATTTTCTACGAGAGTGCTTTACACCGAATCAGTGAGCATTCGCTTGTCTTGACTTTAATTCAAAATTTGCGACCAATAAAGCATTTTAGAGTCTCACGACAGTTTCTATGTTGTTGACAATTATGATGTTAAACCAGTAATCAGATATTACTACAAGTAATTCCTTATTTGTAGTATTACGGACAAGATTACAGGGTTAATGAAACTTAATAGGGCAGCCAATCAAGGAGCTTCATGTTTCGGCACGTGTTGTTCACAGCCATGAACAATATTATATATCACTGTTCACTGAAGTGGAGGTGATTAGAGACCGCTGGTCACAGACACCGAGGTGAATAGCTGTTTCAGTATATACTAAAGATATTACGGTACAAAATAAAATTATTTCAACCTATTTATTCCTGCAACGATTACAATATTTTCAGGCGCAAATCCCGTGCAAGTTGCTCGGAGGTTAATTAATAGAGGATATTCAGAGTTAAATGGCCAATCGGAACGCGCCTTCGACGCTATCCACTGTTTTAGTATTTTCTATAAGGGATTACATCAGCTGAACTGTCTTCAATATACCTCTCTTTTTTCATTATACCGGCCTGCGGAAATCATTTCCGTCAGTGTAAAAAAATAATAATTCTAGTAATAATTACGATGGTGAGCGTTGCAGACCTAAGCTAAGTGGACTGAACAACAATGCATGAATAATAAATGGTATGTTTTGTCAGACCAACTCACACCTGTGGGCAAAGACAGAAAGTTCATGCGCTTCGTGGAAGATATCAAATCAAACATGCAAGAAGCCAGTGATCCTGCAATAAGATCACTTTGTTTCCAATGTATTTATATTCGCACACTTGTTTTGCCAAGGCCACGGCGACAAAACTCAGTTATGTCATTAGTCTGCAATGATAACGTTTCGCGGTCAGTGAGTACGGTGTCCTTACGAATACAAATCTCTTCTCAAACAAGGAACTCTTTTTTTCTGGAAGGATAGAAGTTTGTTACATTCCAGGTTTGTTCAGTCAATCAAAGTTAAGATGCCCAGTCAAATTCTACTATGAATCCAGGGCTTTCAGGAAAAATTTACAAATGATTGATATGGCACCATCAGAAGATTCCACCGGAAAGAGGTCGCTAAACATCGTAAGAAGACCCAATTTTGTTCCGACCAGAACTACTGGAGTCGTAGTAGAATTTTACTGTATCGAACCTGGATTCCTCTAAATCGAGCAGCCTTTGAAACTTTTGAAAAAGCTTGTTCTAATCCTCTGTCCTATTGGCTAACTGGCCATGATCCCGCTATTTCATTTTATTGGTAAATGGGCGGTAGATATTTTGATAGGAGCGCGCCCTCGTCTCGCCACCGCTGTGGCTTGGGTTTGATTCCCGATCCGGTCGTCACATGTGGGTCGAGTTCGTTGTTAGTCCCCGTCCTTGCTCCAAGAGTTTATCTCCAAGTCCTACGGTCTTCCTCCCTCCGCGAAACAAACATTCAAGATTTCAATTCGACCTGCAGACAATAGGCAAGGAGAGCCACTTCGCCGATGTCCTGAGCTAAATTGCCATTTTTATTATTGTGATATTGTAGTCAGTATTATATCATCATCATCATCATCATCATCATCATCATCATCATCATCATCATCATCAGTATTATTATTATTATTATTATTATTATTATTATTATTATTATTATTATTATTACTTTAAAAAGCTTCATTGACGTATGTCTTACATTCCAGGCATGGTCTGCCACCGACCCTCACCAATCTTTTTGATTGGTTTTCTCTGCTTTGTTTTGACATTTGGCGAAGAAGGAGATAATGGTGAGGCGAATCAAACCGAGTATTTTAAATTCTGTTGCTATATGTATGCAGTACCACACAATGAAAAAAAAAAAAGTTGAGAGAGAGAGAAAATGACGGAGAGAAGTCGAGGCACTGACACCCGTATCGTAGCCTGCGAGCAGTCCATCTTTATTGGAGTTTTCGGTGCGAGCGTTTCTTCGTCTGCGAGGAATTATGTGGCCTTGAGCAGCGCGAGCCGGTTAGAGGTCTGGGGACTAGCTGTAAAACTTTATCCGACTCGTCTCAAATCTCCACGCGGGAAGAGAAACGCACGTCTTGCAAGGCTGATAATGAGGGCCTGGTCGCAGGGCTACCCGTATTACTAGTAGGATACTCTGCCACTTTAACCAAGCAAAGAGACTTGCTACAAGTTAATTTAACATCTTTCTTTGTTTTGAATACTTTCATGATCTGTTACTACTACTCAACAGGCTGTTTTGAAGCACTTGGGATTCAATCAGGCGAGTTTGACGATGGAGAGATTGCAGCCTCTAGTATGCTGAAGAACTTTTCATCAACTGACGCCTGGTGTCCACCAAAAGTCGATGAAAATCAATATCTGCAAGTGGATTTGTCAAGAAAAACAGAAATAACAAAACTTGCCACTCAAGGGGAGATTGGTAGTAAGGACAGACATGTGAAGACTTATGCATTACTTTATAGTGATGATGGAAAAAAATGGAAACAGTATGAGAGTCATGGAAAGGAGAAGGTGAAGTTATTGCACGTCTTAATTTCATTCATTTTATCTATCAGTTAGTACGTGCGCCATGATTGCCGGGTCAATTTAACGGGCCGTGATACATTTCACAGCCTGCTAAATTTATAGGTTTGGTTGAATTAAAATCTTCTCTCTCTATTTGAACCCACAGATATAATATGTGTCTTAGCAACCTCGTTTTCTCGGTCCTCACTGTAAGTTACGAGACCTCGTTTTTTCCGCCCGGACTATGTATGGCCGAGGGAAAACAAATCGGTCCGAAACTTATAGTACGGACTTCGAACTTGGTTATTCACACATTTGCTAGCGTTAGACCCCTGCAACTCAAAAATTACTCCCCTCTTTGATTTCGTTATAGATATTTAAAGCCAACAACGATTCCTTCACAGTTCATCATAACTTGTTAGACAAACCTCTTGTTACGCGATACATTCGTGTCAATCCAAGGACATGGGAAAACGCTATTTGTTTGAGGCTTGAGTTATATGGATGCGATGGTAAGCTTACTTGACGTTTCTTACAAACCGTCAATTTAACAAATAAATTCTACGTTACTCCTTGATACTGTATTAATATTTTAAGGAGAAATTCTCTCTTAGTCCCTCATGGGAGGTAAAGGGTTAAACGACCCTTAAACTCCCTCTCCGCAAGAACTACAGGAGACCTTTTCGGCTAAAAATCAAATAACTCTTTTTTGTTTTTACAAAGACTCGTATACGTGTGGTAGACTTGAGGATTCAAAATGAGGATTGTAAGGCAGCTGAAAAAAACCTAGAGGAAGAAGAAATTGCCTGTAAAAGGCCCATTTGATCACGTTTTGTTCTACGCACAATTAGAGCTCCCTTTAAATGACTGTCGTGAAAACCAAAACCAATGTAATTGTCACAGCCAATCATGACATCACGAGGAACCACTAAAAACTCGAAGTCGGGAAAAAAGCAAACTGCCTTAAGCGCGGGAAAATGAAGGCGACTAAGGTGCGATTTGTTTTAGTTTTGAATCTGATTGATTGAGAAAGTAGCGCGAGCTTTCTGGACCAATTACTTATCGAAGTAAAGCAAAACCAAAGCACTCCTGGATTACTCTCGTCACTCAACTACAAACTTATCAGTCATAAGTAATTTACCGAATTATGCGAGGACCAGTGATAAAAGAATATTCAGATAGCTTGGAAGATTATGCAAAAAAATGTGAGTTACAGTAATTTAGTGATTGCTAATTCGCGTTATTTTTCACTCTGCAGTGTGAGGACTGCAGCAGCATGACCCAGTAGATGTATGTCTACACACCACTCCATCTTAAGATCTCAATTATGTAAAATAGACAGACAAGGAAGTTAATTGATGATATTGGACACGAGGAAGATAGTCGTCCTCGTTGGATATTCAGAGTTAGTTAACTGGAAATACGCAATGCGCAAGACAAGACAACTTTATTTGGAATTGAAAAATTAAAAACATTTCTGGAACTACTAAATTTGACACCAAGTCGTTTGTCAATATTTTGTAGGACTATCAAACACATGAAGGAATTAAGGAATTATTGTAGGACCACGGATATTCACAGAAATATTCTTAGAGGTCAACTTATTGCCTTAGTGTGAAAACATGGATCATGACATGATACATTTATAATGTGTAAATATGTTGTTATAACGGGTAATATAATAATGGATCAATATTAAAGTTACTGTTACAGTTTTCAATCATATACGTCTTTTTACTGCGGTTAAATATGTATCTCGAAGGTATAAGTTTTCCCGTCAGTCTTTGAGAAAGAAGACTAATCAGGACGCCATCGTTTGATGATACAGCGCGAACGTTTACCGTCCTACTTCTGAGAGGAATAAGGAGGGGTAGTAGCTACTCCCTTTATTAAATCCATTTTAAAATCACTGGTGATCCCTGTAATCTGATTGGTTCTCAGCAGTGTGATTCATCCACGAATCGCACTATTCTTTGCTCTAAATCGCATCTATTTCCCAGCCGAAGAGAAAGGGACACAAAAACTAAAAAACCAATCAGATTTCAAGGCTTGTTTAAAGTAACCAATCAAATTGTAGGAAAATGAAAGACAAAGAAGTCATATTTGATGGTAAATTTTGCAACTTTTGTTCCCAATAATTTTCCTTTTTTTCTAAAACAAAAAAATGAATCATAGAGGCGATTAAATTTTGCGATTACAAAATGGATGTAATAAAATGGTGATTGAACTTCCTTCCGTGCAATTTTGGTTTAAAAACACACAAGTGATTTCAAATCGAACTCTCAATGCGTGCTTGTTCAATTTGGAATCCAAGCATATGATTTCATACCAAAATGCATTCTATTCAGTTCGATTACCATTATTCGTCCCACGGTGTGTAACTTTACCAATGAAATATTCCTCTTCGTCTTATCCTATGTGCATTTTCCTGACCATAGCCTTTAATCCTTCAAATAATTCCTTAGCAGTAGGTTCTATTTGTGATGCTGGCAAGACAAATCCAAACTTTCCCTGATCTCGCAATTCAACTGCAAATGAATATTTCACTTTCAAGCCACCATAGACGTAATCGGTTAAGCTCCCGGAATTGATATCTGAGTGAAAGAAAGACAGGATAAAAAAAGTACTTGTTACAGAAGGCTGACTACTTTACGATAAAGGAGGAGAAGTTCCTAAACAAAAAACTGTTGCTGCGTCGGTAGGTAGTTTTACAAGATAATTTAGTTTTATAAACGGAGTTGATATCGTAAATTGGCCACCAAAGATATCTCCTAAAGCTGACGTTTCGAGAATTAGCCCTAAGAAAAATCGAAACGTCAGCTTTAGAAACTCTTTTTGGAGGCCAATTTACTTTGTAACAATTTACACCGTTTGTGATGATATCCTGAAAATCTTTGTTAAAAATCTTTGGAAAACCATAACGCCCTACTTCGTTAGCGCTCTAATCTTAGATTGATTTCTTTAATTGATGAGCTGTTTAGAAAACAGAAAATGTTTCCTGCGGCTTATTATCATCGTTCTACATTTTTTTGCTACCAATGCAAATAAATTCTCCGTCATGTTGTTGCCCTCGCTCCTCTTACCAGCCCTTTTACGAACCAAATCTTGATGTTATCACTACTAAGTCCGGTTACTTTTAACGTATAGCGTCACAGTGTTACTTTTAAATTCTGTGATATCATAACACATATTTTACAGAAGCTTTTGTTGTAATCCTATGGGCTAAACTTACATAACAGTCTAGATGAGGGACCCAAATCATAAGTTGTGCTAAATTCCATGGACTTTATAACATCCACTGCGGCTTTCCCAACACGCATCTGCAAGTCAAGTCCAATCATATTACAAAATGGGTCTGCAAGGCTCTGTTACGTATACTGAAGTATACATGGAACTGAACTTATTGAGTTCGGGGGGTTACTTGGGTCAATTTTGCTGAGTATGTGCCACTGGTCTCTCAGAACCCCTAGCCCATTATGGTCTGTTCTGAGGCCAATTTTAAACAACATCGGTCACATTTGGGGAAATGTAATTTTCGCGATCCCAACTAAGTCATTTTTTAACCGTGAATCTTACCAATTTTAATTCCTTCTTACCAGAATGTACCACCCCATTCTGGTAAATCTATTAAAAACGTAACACATTATAATTAATCCTGTCGTGAAAATACGATCTTATCCAATGGTACATCCCCTTAAGCTAGGAAGTACCCCAAATTAAGTTCGTTGCCCAAATTATTAAAACTAGCGAGGTCACAAAACTGATTCATGCTTATGTACATCTGGTGGACGAAATGACAAAATGGACGAAAAGACGGTGGAGCCCTCTTTCGGAGTAATCGTATACAAGGTTGGCGAAGGGATTACTGTAACTCACAAGTTCATCGTAATCTTTGATATTTTCCTTCGCAAAACCCCACGGAATCATCCACATTTGACTGTAACTGTGAACATCAAGGAATCCCGCAAGCCTCTTCAGCTGAGACTTCAAAAAGCGATCTAAGTTCTGAACCTCTTTCTCAGACATGGCTGATGAACCCTGGTAAATAAATGAACAAGGGTTCTCAGAAGCCCCGTGATTTAAAAGGAGAAGAAAGATCGCACATCAAAATTTATCTGACAATGCATTATATCATTGTCTCTTCTATTACTGCTATGGTAGTGAAAACACCCAAGTCGAAATTAAACAGAAGACAGGGAGAAAATTAAACTTTTAACAAAATTGAAATATATAGAGATGTTTCTTAGTGGTGATATCTATATAATAAACGGATATACGTAAGTATAGTATCTGAGCAATTGGGCCCCTACCCCTCCCCCAACCCCACAACAGTCAACTAAGAACAAGTTAGGGTTAAAATTGGGTTAGGGGAGGGGTAGTTATGCAGTCGCTCAGATTTTGACATTGATCCAACAATCCTTGATGTATTCTTTGCAGCAGTTTTAGAAATGAATCTCAACGTTGTTACCTCCCCAACTAAATTGCCAGTTTCTGTTCAAATCGGTACCAAAACACAAGGATCCGTGGTTGGGACTTCGGTTTTTTCGCCATAAACGATCCTGTAATGTTAGGTATGGTGAAATACTTATCGGTCAATGTAATTTTATAGCGGAGCTCAAAGCATGCGCAGCGCACACAGCGAAGCCCCATACTTATCAAAAAATGGTTATAATTACAACAATCCATTACGCTTTATCATACTGACATTACCCAGTCACTGCATGACTTTCCCAAATTTTTTTTTAAAACAGGACCGGACCATTGTGTGACAGTTAAACTACAAAGGCATGATAGCCCATGGGTTGCCACATGGTTTGATCTCCTTCTACCAAAGGAAAAGAAAGTTAAGTTAAAAGCAAACGCTTTTAAAAGCAAAATTAAAGAGAAAAGGAAGTTAAGTTCTCACTTGAGTCCAGGTGTAAACGTAGCCATCAACATTAAATACGGGTACAATGGCGAGGTCTATTTTATCCAGCAAGGCTGTCACGCTGGGGTCCTTCCCGTACTGGGAAACAATCTGAAAAGTGGCCTGGCTTTAAATATTAACTTTATTAACTGTTGCGTGGCATGTTTACGAGCGTGTGTGACATTTTCTTGATTTTGCATTTGAGTTGGCGATACTAAGTGCTTCGTGATCGAAAGACATTATGATTTTTGACGTTTCAAGACTTCTTACTTGAAAACGTTAAACTTCCAAGATCTGATTTTTAATTCTCTCCTCCAGCTGGTGTACATTTCCTCATAAATTAGTTACAAGAATTTGCTTTTAGATCAGGATAACGACTTTTACCTGATTAGTTTTAGTATTCTCATCACTTGTTTGCTGGACTATATATGGATATCTCAGGGAGAAGTTGCACGTTAATCACTTCTAGGAGTTCGAGGGTTAAGTATTAAGATATGGAAGACATCATAACAATTACATTTGACAATTTTAAAACCCTGCGCCTTAATTCGTTTTTAAGTCGGCTTCCATGACGATGATCGAATGATGGCAACTGGCTTTATTTCTATGAATGAAAGAACGTAGTTTTTCCTACCTGATCAATGATGTAGATACAGGAGGCTGGAGAAATCCACTCTCGAGCATGTGTTCCACAATTTATAAACACCAGCGGCTTGATTACTTGATGGTTTGCTTGAATCTAGATAATAGAAAATATCGAGGATATTAACTGAATTGAAGTTTTGATACGCCTTTTATCCGTTAGAAGGTCGATGTTTAAACTCTTCTGAAAAACCACCATATCTGTTGTTACACTTGATCAAACTTACCTGAAGTATATATTGGTCCCTGTTCTCATATGATTTGCCAAGACTGTGCATGCGTACAATATTTGAGCTTTGACTGGTAGCTTTTATCCAGGATACAATCTTTATGACCGGGAGAAAAACAAAAATAATGACATTTTCAAAAAATTGCATGTTCAAGGGGAGAATAAAGGTCATATGGGTTTTTCATTCTTGTTATCAGTATTTCACTTCACCCTTGTCGAAAAACCATTTGAAGGCCTGATTGTTAAGATAATTCTGAAGTGTTGTTTGATTAATCGTCTTTTTTTAACAGAGAAAATAATAGATGGGCGCTCTTAGATATGGAATTTCTCTTTAAATGTTCAACTCGATATTACGAGTGAGCGCAGTGAACGAATGAGATATCGAAGTAAACACGAGAAGAGAACTGAATTTCATCTTTGCAAGCAACCATCTATTTTTTTTAATATTATAAACTCTATAAGCCTTTCAAACAGGAAAACTTGTCAAACGATATTGGATTGAGAATGAGACATAGTTTGATGCTACTCTGGTTTGCAGATTTAATGAATGTAACCGA